TGGCTTCTTGGGATATATTCCTAGAAGTGGGATCACTGGGTCAAATGGGAGTTCCATTTTTAACTTTCTGAGGAAATTCCATACTGTTCTCCACAGTGGCTGCACCAGTCTGCATTCCCACCAGCAGTGCACTAGAATTCCTTTTTCTCCGAATACACTCCAGCACTTGTCGTTTGTTGATTTGTTGATGATAGCCATTCTGACAGGTGTGAGATGGTACCTCATTGTTGTTTTGATTTGCATCTCTTGGATGATTAGTGACTTTGAGCATGTTTTCATATGTCTCTCGGCCTTCTGTATGTCCTCTTTCGAAAAGTGTCTACTTAGGTCCTTTGCCCATTTTTTGATTGGATCGTTTATCTTCCTTTTGGTAAGTTGTATGAGTTCCCTGTAAATTTTGGAGATTAAACCCTTATCGGTGATAACATTGGCAAATATGTTCTCCCATGCAGTGGGCTTTCTTGTTGTTTTGTTGATGGTTTCTTTTGCTGTGCAGAAGTTTTTTATTTTGATGTAGACCAATTTATTTATTTCCTCCTTAGTCTCCATTGCCCTAGGAGCTGTGTAAAGTTATTGCTACGACATATGTCTGCTATTTTGCTGCCTATGGAGTCTTGTAGGATTTTCATGGTTTCCCATCTTACATTTAAGACCTTTAGCCATTTTGAGTTTGTTTTTGTTTATGGTGTAAGTTGATGATCTAGTTTCATTTTTTTACATGTATCTGACCAAATTTCCCAGCACCATTTATTGAAGAGACTGTCTTGACTCCATTGTATGCTCTTACCTCCTTTGTCAAATATTAATTGAGCATAATGACTTGGGTTGAAAAATATGTGTTATTTTGCAATTACTTATTTTTAAAGAGTGTGACTCTGTTATCTTATTAAGGATACTACTATCTAGTTCCTTCTTGAAAAAAATCAGAATTCTTGGTAAAACAACTTAAATTATTTTTCTTTCATATGTCTGTTTAATACACACACACACACAGACACACATATTTCAGAGAGGAAGGGAGAGGGAGAGAGAGAAAAAAATCAATGATGAGAGAATATTTGATTGGCTGCCTCCTGTACGCCCCCTACTGGGGATCGAGCCTACAATCCTGGTATGTTCCCTGACCGAGAATTAAACTATGACCTCCAGTTCATAGGCCAATGCTCAACCACTGAGCCACACCAGCTGGGCTCATATGTCTGTTTTTATGTAGATATTCTTTACAGCTTATCTGCAAAGAAGATAGATTTGCCCTGACCAGTTTGGTTCAGTGGCTAGAGCGTCGGCCTGTGGACTGAAGAGTCCCACCAGGTTCGATTCCGGTCAAGGGCATGTACCTTGGTTGCGGGCACATCCCCAGCAGGGGGTGTGCAGGAGGCAGCTGATCGATGTTTCTCTCTCATGGATGTTTCTAACTCTCTATCCCTCTCCCATCTTCTCTGTAAAAAATCAATAAAATATATTTTAAAAATTTCAAAAAAAAGAAGATAGATTTTATTTTATTTTTTTGATTAATACTCACCTGAGGATATTTTTTCCATTGCTTTTCAGAGTGGAAGGGAGGAAGGGAGAGAGAAACATCGATGTGAGAGAGACACATCAACTGGTTGCCACCGCACCCACCACCCACATGCACTCTGACCGGGTTGGGGATCAAACCTGCAACCCAGGTACGAGCCCTTGACCAGGAATTGAATCCATGACCCTTAAGTGCTTGGGCCATCGTTCCAACCACTGAGCAACACTGGCCAGGGCAGAAGATGAATTTTGCAAAGCAATGGAAAGATATGGTATCTTAGGAATTAGTACTTCTCTCTCTAAAGTCATTTTATCTTAAATGCCTAATTTAAAAATTAGATTTCTCATTTGCTTTAGCAAGTGCTTTTTAAAAAATATTTGAGTCTTTTTTTCTTCAGTGCACTCTGTTAAAAAGTTCTGCTTCCAGTGTTTTAAATACATTATATCAGTTCATTTGGGTAAGAAAAACTAATTTCTTCAGCATACACATTAGTATTTGTCTGGAGTTGAAAATATTTCAATGAAATGTCTATTTTGACTTTGGGCAACACCCATACCTTTAGTATATCATGTGACAATTCTATAATAGGTATGTCAGGTTCTCTCCAATAGACTTGAGAAACATGATTATCATCTTAGAGCAGCTTTTGAAGTATCTTACCTTCAGAAATTCTCTCTCCCTCCCTTCCTCTCTTATTTTTTCTCTTTCTCTCTCTATATACATATACATACATCATACATACATACTGTTAGGTTATTATAATTTGAGTATAGCTAACATTTTTATTGAACTTAACTTTGTCCTCGGCACTGTGCTAGGCACAGTGAAATGTATAATCTCATTTTATTCTCATAATAGTTTTATGAGGTTGGAATTGTCATTATGGTAACAAGTAATAATTGATAATAAAACCTGCCTTAGAGGTTTGTTGAGAGAATTTATTGAGGGGAATAAGTATAAAGTTTCTGCCACAGTAGACACATAATAATGGGCAAAGGATTTAAGCTCCCTGCCTGGTTGGGAAAATGATTCCTGTTCTGTCTACCCCAGAAGGTGGTAACAATAATGACAAGCCAATAGATGTAAGTATGCCCTGTAAGTTTGTGGCAGTTTCATTGGCTCAGGAAGCAGGTAGAAAAACAAGAACCCTTGTTTATTCACATAGCTATAAAACCAATATGGCTTTAATCCTTTAGAAGCAATAAACCAATAAACCATAATAAGGTGGGGTATGTTTCACCAAAAAGTACTTCTTCCCTTGTCCCTTTTCTTAATTTGGCTATATATAATTTTCCTTTTTAATTTTCCCAATGTCTATACCTATGCTCTCTAATCCAGTAGCCACTAGCCACATGAAGCTATTTAATTAAACAAAATTTAAAATTCAGTACCTCAGTCACACTAGCTACAAAAAATTGTCTGTGGCCACATGGGCTAGTGGCTGTCATTCTGTCATCACAGAAAGTTCTGTTGGAGAATGCTAGACTAAGCTATACAGAGTTTTAGTTTGTTTATTTTTTAAAATAGTACATTAGTATTATTGTATGTATTTGTTTTATCTTCTCTGACTTTAATTCATAAAGCAAATAATAAGTAAAGCTTGTTTCTAAAAAACGTCAAGCTGTTTTTCACTTACATGGGCCTTAGTTGATTGTTTGGTCTCTTACATCAGTGGCGTTTTATTGAGAACAAGATCCCCAACCTGACTGAAGTTAATAGATTTTCTCAATTAGGGAAGTAACAGGATATAGAAGATTGAATGATTTCAAAGTGCTTCTAGCCTAATTGGAAATGTAATTGATTGTGTTCTGCCAGATGTCATTTCAAGAATGTCTTTTTCTTTTAAGATGCGAAAGAAAACCCTTACGGTGAGGATGACAATAAGAGCCCATTCCCGCTGCAGCCCAAAAACAAACGCAGTTATGCCCAGAATGTGACTGTCTGGATCAAACCCAGTGGCCTGCAGGTAATATTACCGCTCACGTTGCTTTCCACTGGGGACAGGAGGGATTCTGGCAGGCAGGCAGGCAGACATTTGATCTGATTTTCCTTCCCTTTGATACTTACTAATTCATTTACTTCTAATGTGTGTCATTATTTCCAAAAAGGATTTGAGGTGGCCTACGGTAAAAACTGTATACAGCAAAATCATTTTTTTACAAAATTTAGAGCAATACAAAACCTAGAGGAAGAGGGGAAACAATTGTTCCGGGAACCCAAGGCAAAATAATTGTATTGAACAATTTGGCTCTGAGCTACCAAGGTCAAAAAAGAAACAGGTAGGGTTTTATGTTATAGAGGGTTATATGTCTGATTAAAGGAAGTATGTCAGTTTTTCTAGAGAGACACATTTCCTTGGCATTGAATTTTAATGTGAAATTTTGGACATGCTGAGACATTGAATAATATAATGGGTGTTATCTTTAACAACAATTTCGAGAACGATGTAAAAATCTTCATGTGGTTATTTCTTCCATTTCCACAGTAGAGCCCAAACCATAGCATTACACTGTAATTCCACAAAAACACTTTCATGGGAAGCTGCAAGTAGATTATTACCAAGGTTTGCTACTTTCAGGCAAGGTACTCAGTGACATTTCTTCTTCCAAAAAGTCCTTTGTACCTATTTTTTAAAATCACTTTTGAGCCTTTGTTCTCATTTAAGTGCCTTTCCTTCCTTTGTTCCTCCAATGAATCCAACTTAAGCCAGAAGAGAAGAGGTAATCAGGCCACGTGACAACAGAAGTGGCTTCTGTTGATGGCATAGTCCCCCTTTTCACGGAGACTGGACACATCCTGCCATGGCTAAGGGAAGAGAGGTCTCTTCACTTTGTGGAGAAATCAGGTTCTCCCTCTTTCCTATCACCCGTGACCTGAGCACTTCCCTATTGGAAGGATAGCTGATTTTTCCCCCCTAATTTTTCTAAAATTATTTTAAAAATTTTATTTTAGGCTAGGTGTATTTTTTTTTATTGTGATGAAATACACATAACATTTACCATTTCAACCATTTTTAAATATGCCATTCAGTGGCATTTTGTATAATCACAATGTTATTCAACCACTACTACTATCTAGTTCCAGAATATTTTATCACCCCAAAAGGAAACCCTGTACCCATTAAGCAAGTCACTCTATTTTCCCATCTTCCCCCAGCCCTTGGCAACCACTAATCTGCTTTCTGTCTCTTTGGATTTGCCTATTCTGGATATTTCATATAAATGGAGTCATATAACATGTGGCCTTTTTGGTTTGGTTTCCTTCCACTAAGCACAGAGTCAGTGTTCATTCATGTTGTAGCATACATCAGTACTTTACCTTTTGGTGGCTGGATAATATTCCATTGTATAACCATGCCACATTTTGTTTATCCATTCATTCAGTTGATGGTATTTGGATCGTTTCTACCTTTTTGCTATTCAGAATAATGCTGCTATGAAAATTCATCAAATTAATTTTTTTCTTAAGGTGCTGTACTGTTGTAACTAAGAAATCATAGCCAAACCCAAGGTCATGAAGATTTGCCCTTGTTTTCTTTTAAGAATCTGAAGTGTAAGAGTTTTAGCTCTTGCATTTAGGTCTCTGATACATTTTTATTTACTTTTTTGGTGTGAAGTAAGGGTCCAACTTCATTCTTTTCTATGTGTCTATCTAGTTGTTCTAGCACCATTTGTAGAAGAAACTATTCTTACCCCATTGAATGGTCTTGGCAACCTTGTCAGAAAAGCAGCTGGCCATATATATAATTACTTGGTTGTTTTTGTGAGACAAGTTAATTTCTGTCACCAAGGGATTTATTATCAAGCACTTTGAAGGAGGGAGGTGCTGTACTAATATTGAACAGAACAGTGACATTAATTCAGAAGGGATGCTCATTTTGACACTACAGCTCTATTCGTATTTTCATTTCTTTAAACATTTAGAGCCAACCTTTTGTATTCTTTCCCCTTTACCATAGAAATCTAATGTTGAATTTGTTTTATCCTTGATAGACAGATGTACAGAAGATTTTAAGAAATGCAAGGAAATTACCTGAAAAAACACAGACATTCTATAAGGTGAGACTATCAGAATTACAGTGGAAGAGGGTGAGCCCTGGGATGGGTGCCAAAAATAAATGGTTCACCATAGTTAGTGTAGGGTCATAGAGTGAACATGGACAGGTGTTAGAAATAGATGGCTTGTGCTTCAGTTTTTTTCATCAGTGAAGTCAGTAGAAGTGATAGGTCCATTTTGCCCTAAAATCCAAGAATTAGAAGTGCTTAAATGGCCTGGTTCTGTGCAAAGGGCTTCTCTGTGTTGGTGCTGCTATGACTGGCTAAAGGAAGGAGTGGAAAGGACCTTAACCCTCATAGCCCTTAACCTTTTCACCATTCCCATGTGAGTATCCAGCCTAACCCCAGGCTACCATTGTATGTGGCTTCCTGGGATGGTGATGGCCCAGGACATTCTTACTGTACCAGAAAAGCTGCTCCCGGGAATGACTTCTAAAATTGCACATTTATGAATTGCAAAAGGATGGCCCTCAGGAATCATACCTAGCTGATTCAGAACCATTGGTGGAAGGAATAAAGTTACAAGGGGTGAGGTGGAGTGTGGGGCCTTTAAGCTCACTCATTTCTCCCCTGTCCTTCTGGTGTTTGGCTGAAATCAAATTAAGTAGCAGTGTGAGGTATGCTGTTGTCAGTTGTATCCTAGTTTGCTAAGCTTAAAATGTGGACACACAGACAGCCCTAGGCTAGCATTTCTTCCAGAGAACATACATGCTACTTTGTCTGGATGTTATTTCATTACCTTTATGTCACTATTGTCTTCAAACCTAATTATGTAGTGAGCTGGTGAAATCAAGGAAGAGCAACCTTAATCAGAGTTCAACACCAGCAAGCTGGCCAGCCTGCCATGCCCCCTAACTGAAAGCCAGCTCACACAGGCCCTTGGTGACCATTCTGGCTGTGGTCCTTCTCCCTGCAGAGCTTTCTACACACAATCATCAGCTTCTATTCAAGATGACACACTTGTACTTTGGCCTTTTCAACTTTTCACTTATTTATCAGATGATAGAGAAGTGGTCAGAAAGCCCATTTCTCTTTTCTGGATTTATATAATCCCACATATCACAGCTGGAAAGGGCCTCTACCAGGCAATTGCTTCAGCCTAGCCCCCGCAGTGGGAAGAGGTTATCCTTCTCACTTTGTAAATGAGGCCACTGAGACCCAGAGAGGCTATACACATTGCCCAGATCACGCTGCTAAGTGTGCTAAGTGGTTGATGGGGCACTTCCTATTTCTCTGCTTCCATTCACTACCCCACTTTTTGTTTGTTTGTTTTTTTAGAGAGAGAAAGAAACATTGATGTGAGAAAGAAATATCTATCGGCTGCCTCCTGCACACTCCCCACCTCGGATCGAGGCCCAAACCCGGGCATGTGCCCTGACCAGGCATCAAACTGGCAACCTTTTGGTGCATAGGTCAATGCCCACCCAACCCAACTGAACCACACCAGCCCAGATCCACCTTTCTTTTTGTGGTTGTCTTTTGATCAGGCTTCTGACTCCTCCAGAGCCTCCTCCAATGTGTTCAGCAGGAGAGGCTAAGAGCCCTCTGAGGTTTGGGACAAGCCTTTTCCATACCTGAGTAACAGGAAAAGTAAAACCTCCTTAGAGTTATGAGAAAATGAAATGATGTATGCGAAGTGCCTCACAACATTTGCATGAGTGCTCATTAACTGTGGTGGTGATGACCTGTTTCAGTCAGTGTCTTTCTTACCGAGCTTTCTCATCACCTATAGAGGAACTGCTTCTCAGTAATGTCATCACACTCTCATTACAGGGTCCCTAGGCGATCAGGGCCGATCGGGGCCTTCCAGCTGCTGGCCAGGGCCTTCCTTCGTTCCGCGCCGCCCCCTGGTGGTCAGCGCTTGTCATAGCGAGCAATCGAACTCCTGGTCTCCCGGTCGAACTCCTGAGGGGACACTTTGCATATTAGCCTTTTATATAGAGAGATGCTCACTTAAGTTTGGGGGTCAATGAGAACTTATTCTAAGCTGAGCACTTAGAACGTATGTACTCATTCCAGACAGAGAAACGGCTGACTGGCTCGGTCAGGAAGTCAACAGGATGGAAGATGATGAAGTGGGAGTAGAAATCAGTCAAGAAGTGGGGCCAGGCCAGTGTGGCTCAGTGGTTGAGCATCCACCTGAACCAGGAGGTCATGGTTTGATTCCCAGTCATGGCACATACTCGGGTTGTGAGTTCAACCCCCAATAAGGAGGGTGCAGTAGGCAGCTGACCAATGATTCTCGCTCATCGTTGATGTCTCTCTCTCTCTCTCTCTCTCTCTCTCTCTCTCCTCTCCCTTCCTCTCTGAAATCAATAAAAATATATTTTTTTAAAAGTGGAGACCACAAATGGAGCTTTGAGAATTTGATAGTCTACCAGTGTACATAATTTCTGCCTAATTATGTACGTTATTCAGCAAAAATTAGGTCATCATAGTTGAGGTATATGTGTGCTATTTGCAGATAAGAAAAGGTGGTTGTAGTTTCTTAAAAATTATTTCACAAGAATGGTTTTAAACAAATCTACTTATCCAGTTATACCTTTGAATAAAAACCTGCTTTTAGCCAGAAAGTTCGGCTCAGTGGTTAGAGCATTGGTTCTCAGACTGAAGGATATTGGGTTTAATTCCCGGTCAAGGGCATGTATCTCAGTTTTGGATTAGATCCCCACACCCCAGTCAGGGCGTATGTGGGAGGCAACCAGTTGATATGTCCCTCTCACATGGGTGTTTCTCTCTAACCGCCCCCCCCCGCCCCCACCCAATCACTTTCACTCTCTCTAAGAATCAATGGGAAAAGTATCCTTGGGTGAGAATAAAATAAAAAATAAAAAAGTTTTTTGGTGTTTTTTTTTAACATGTGAAAAGGAAATTACATTTTAGGAACATTCATGTTTTATCTTATTTCAGGAACTGAACCGTTTACGAAAGGCTGCCCTGGCCTTTGGTTTCTTGGACCTGCTCAAAGGGGTGGCTGACATGCTGGAAAGGGAGTGCACGCTGCTGCCCGACACAGCCCACCCCGATGCAGCGTTCCAGCTGACCCACGCTGCCCAGCAGCTCAAGCTGGCCAGTACTGGCACCTCCGAGTACGCTGGCTACGACCACAACATCACACCTTTGCAGACAGACTTCTCCGGGAGCAGCACTGAAAGAATGTAAAGCTGACTTTGGGAGCCTTCCTTCCTTCTCATTTTAAGTCCAAATGATTTCGGGTAAAAACTTCTCCAGGGTGTTCACCTCTGCAGCCACCACCTGAAGACCTCCCTGAGGCTGCCTCAGAAGCACCCCTTGCTGGTTTGAGTGACTGCAACAGTCCGAGAAGGGCTTTGACCTTCGCTTTCTAAGCTCTTTCAGCCCAGAAGACACCTATGGCTCCCGTGATGGGTACATCTTCTGAGAAGCTTGATGGTGTGATGGGTACAGAGCTCTCTCCCTTCCTCAGGAAACCTAACCCACAGGGGTCCTCTGGCTTTCTGAAAGGCATCTTCTCTCCTCTCAATCATAAGGACATTTTCAAGATTCTGCCCTTGGAATGAGCAACCCAGACTGGGACTAGCTAAGGACAAGCCCTACACCACTAAGTTTCAGAACTTTTCTTAGAACTTGGGCAAAACTTAGTGGTAACACTTAGGTGCTTTTGGTATGTCTTGAGATAGACTTTTAAACAGCAGCCATAAATGTAAAAAATTATTCCCATTTCTTCAAGCTTTGTTTTTTAATGAAAAAGTATTTGATTTTCTATAAAATGGTTTCACTGGTAAATTAATGAGTCTTTATCTTTTGGTCTGTCCTGTCTGGATATAATTTCAGCTTTCTGTGCGGCAGATTCATAAATCATGAGGGTTCCTTGGGTTCCATACTGACTTCCTTGTTTCTGACACCTGTTAGGCCTCATTGCCTACGCCAAGTTCCATTCAGGTAGATTCTGACAGGTACTGCAGTCAGCTCCCCTTCCAATTCATCAGCTAGCTTCATGACATGGGCAAGTCCTGTAGCTTCTCTAGGTTTTATTTATATTATCAGTGCTTTTCAAATTGCTCTGTGGACCGCCTAAAGCAGCGGTCGCCAACCGGTAGTCCGTGGACCACTGGTGGTCTGTGAGGTCCGAAAGGTTGGCAACTGCTGGCCTAAAGTATTACTCCCTCAGGCTTCAACCTGAGCATCTACTTTTGGTTTAACATGCTGAACTGCTATATAATATTTTGTCTGGAAAAAGGACTTTATCACTAACAATTTGAAGACCATTAGAGTAAATAAATGATCTTTAAACTGGTAGTCCGTGGACCACTGGTGGTCTGTCAGGTCCGAAAGGTTGGCAACTGCTGGCCTAAAGTATTACTCCCTCAGGCTTCAACCTGAGCATCTACTTTTGGTTTAACATGCTGAACTGCTATATAATATTTTGTCTGGAAAAAGGACTTTATCACTAACAATTTGAAGACCATTAGAGTAAATAAATGATCTTTAAACACAAGTTAGGATTTTGACTGTAAATGTTTAATAGAAATACACAATCTTTTGCTTTCTCAGACAGCAACAAAAAGGCTTGTAAGAATGTAAGATTCTGCCACAGATGCAGCATAATCTGCTGCAAAGCTAATCTGCAATAATTACACACAGAAACTCAGGTGAAAGAATATCAGAAGTTAATACAAACAAGTATTGACAGAAGTTACAGACATGCAAAATATCCTTCAGTGCAATGAACTTGTAAAAAAATCAGCCAGCCTATGCTAATCATAGGTTTTTAGATCAAACCAAGTTTCAATCTTGGGCTCAGAGAAACAGCATAGCTCATTTAGTCCCTTTTCCCCCAGGAACAATGGGAATGGCACAATTGAGCAATCGTGCCTTAAATTCTTTCATACAAGCATTACTTCTAACACATTTTGCTTGGAATGTGGAAGAAATTGATGTTTTTGACAATGGCCAAACTTCATAATGCCTAAATTTTTTTCAGTTCCTCTGTTGGTGGGTTTCCTGCCAGGAGTCTGTGTTAATGGACCAGCTGGTGATTCTCTAGCCAATGTTCTCTGTTCACTGTCCTACTTCAGAGGTGAAACAACAGCAGAATAAAAGGTGTTTTGAGGTCTACTAAAAAACAAACAATCCCACCACTTACTCTGACAGGTACACAAATGGACTTACCCAGGTCAGGGGAAAGAAGCTGGAGTTTATGTTTGTGCACAGCCTAAGGCAGTTTTGCAGGTGTGTTTAGACTGGCCTACTCTAGTGTTCCCAGTTTGCTACAGGCTGCATTGCAGGCAGCTATCTTGTGGCCAGTTTGACCTTTCTGACCCCTGTAACCATTAGGGGTTGGAACTCTTACAATCTCATTATTTTCTAACTCATGTTTCATCTTTCTTTAAAGTTGAAAATAGTTCTGATTTATCTTGGAATGAAGTAAGTGATCATGGTGTTCCAAGGTTCTGACTGGTTTCTCTCAAATCATTCTGTGTCCACACAGGTAAGCACTGTATAGTAACAGATATCGTTAGAGAGGCCAAGAAATTCAGAGGTAATATTTCTCGAGGCCCACCTGGACTCAAATGTTTTATCAGTGACTGAGTCAAACAGATTTTCAAAAAACCAACGCCACTCCACTTAAGTAACCCTTTGGGTACAGAATATATTAGGTCCTGCCTAGGTCACTTTCACAGGCTCCTATAGAGCAAAACAGTCTTGTTTTTCTTCCACAATCAATAGCTGAAAAGAACAAATTCCAGCTGTAAGAATGGCCAGTACCTAGTAGGTCCAGGGCACTGATGAAATCTCTGGCTTGTGTGAAACAGACTGACTGGACACGGAGTGGGTGGGGACAGGGCTGTCTGATGTCACTAACAGATTACAAAAGAACCAACCTGTCATCAGATATCATGCAAGTACTACACTAAGATAATACAATAAATTCAGGATGTAACTGGGGAAAGGGGAAGATAGCCTTACTGAGAATTTAATCATTTAACGTTAAAAAAAAACTTTTATATCAGTACAAGAAGGTAAAACTGTAAGAATTATAGATTAGGCTCAAAAGTCTACATGGCAAGAAGTCATCTAAATCTCTTTTTAGTGGATTTTCTTCTTTTTTTGTCCATAGTGCCGCCTGCGCTGTTTATAAAGGTGACGGAAATTTATGTATAACCCTGAAAAAGAAAAGAGGCCAATTAGACATGAGAATCTTTGTCCTGTTTATAACCAGAAGCTCTTGGGCAGGGACAGTCTAGTTGGCTGTTTTTCATACCCCTCTGTGCTTACTGCAGCTGCTCAGGAAGTACAATTCAGTAACAAGTTAGTAACAATGCACTAGAGACCACTCAAATTTCTCCCAGTGGGTTTACAATTTCACTTTCTCCCATATTTTATTATAAAAATTTTCAAACATACAAAAAAGATTAAGTCATTGTACAGTAAATACCATCTAGATTAAACCTTAACTCTATTACATTTTTTATCACATATCCATTCCCATCTAATTTTTTATATTTTTCAGTAAAAGTTACAGACATCAATATCCCTAAACATTTCCTTAGAGTTCACAATATTTTTCTCCCAATTTCTTTTTAAGTAAGACTTACATAAAATACACAAATCTGAAGTATAGAAACAACCCAATTTTTAATTCAAGGCTATGCAATAAAGTGTATTAAGCAATAGTTTAAAAGGTATGTGTGTGGGGGGAGGAATAGGGGGTAAGGACACATATGTAATACCTTAATCAATAAAGAAATTAAAAATAAAATAAAAGGTGGGGGATACTTTTCTAGGAAGCACAATCTTCTCATTTAGAAAATACAGGATTTCAGCCCAGCCAGCATGGCTCAGTGGTTGAGCATCAACCTATGAACCAGAAGGTCACCGTTCAATTCCCAGTCAGGGCACATGCCCAGGTTGTGGGCTCAATCCCTAGTATGGAGCGTGTAGGAGGCAGCCAATCAATGAGTCTCTCTCATTTTTACTGTTTCTATTTCTCTCTCCCTTTCCCTGCCTCTCTGAAATCAATAAAAAAATATATTTTTTTAAAAAACAACACAGGATTTCAGTCAGAAAGAACAAATTTCAGTTCTACTTCATCACTGTGGCTTAGCCTCACTTCAGTTTCCTCATTGTGCAGCAGAGTTCAAAACACTTATTTTACAGACTGATTGTGAGAGAACATAGGTTTAGAAAAGCACTTTGATCTATATACAAATGTAACTGGTTGTTATTACTGCTTCTAAATTGTGCAGATTTAGGATTTATTTCATTATGAAGAATAAGAACAACTGCATATTCATTGTAGGCAAACTAGATGAGTATAAAACCTTAAAAATTAGAGTGTACAACATAAGCAACATGAAAAAAGCCACTAAGGTTAGTGCACATTAAAATACTTCTACCTTTCTAACTTCTTTAGTAAAATATTTTAAGGTCTTTCCAATATTTATCCCTCTTTAACCCTTTCAGTATGCCCACCTCGTGGAGCCTAATTACAGTAATAGTTTATCCAGTAACAGAGGTGAAGAGCTCTTAATGAGTGCATTTTCCAAACTGAAGCTTATTCCCTTCAACTGCCCTACTATTTTAACACTTTTGGTTAGAAATCTTTCTGAAATGTATTACACCTTTTCTGAAATATAAGAAACAGAATAAAATTTAATCTTAAGCAAATTACCTACACCCATAAGTTGTACTATTAACTGTGCTTCTGCCATGTACGCTATCCCGAAGTGTAGGTCTCTTCTCCCTGATACTAAATGACCAAGACCGCTGGACTTTCTGGCTTCTTGGGTTTACTTTTTGTGGTCTTCCTCTCAGTGTCTGTGGTAGCCACCCTTCAAGATGGTCCCAGTGATCCCTACACCTCTTGGTATTTCATACCCTTGTGTAGTTCCCTCCCATACTTTACTAAGTAGGTCTAATGTAACCAACAGAATATGGAAAAAGTGACGGTATGTCACTTCTGCGATTAGGTTATAAAAGTGTGGAGATAGAGGTGCTATTATCACTGCAATGGCAATCATATTACAATGTATAGATGTATCAAATCAATATGTTGTACACTTTAAATTTATACAATATGTCAAGCATATTACAATCAAAAATTAAGTAAGTAGATAAATTTTTTAAAAGGCACTGTGGCTTCTATCTCTCAGATCACTTGCTCTGGGGGAAGCCATGTCATGAGCAGCCACAGGGAGAAGTACTGCAGCTAGAAACAAGCTTTCTGTCCACAACTACGTCAGTGAGCTTGGAACAGATCCTCCAGCCCCAGTCAAGCCTGCAGAAACTAGCACCAGCGGAGCTGACCACTTGACTGAAACCTCATGAGGGACCCTGAGCCGGGCCACCCAACTGGGCTGCTTCCTGACCCTCAGAAACCATGTGAGAGAATAAATGTTTGTCATCTCAGACTGCTGAATTCTGGGGTAATTTGTTAGACAACAATAGACACCTAATATACTATCTTGCTGTCACATCCTCTGTTACTAGGACACCAGAGAGCCGTACTTATTTAGGGCCACCTCAAGACTTTTGTGAGCTAAAGCAGGGATAAATACATAAATTATGTTAAAATGTATTAGAACTTTATCTAAAATAAATAGTCTTTATAGTTGGAAAAGGCTTATAAATCATATTTGCAATAATTTAGGTTTACATATTTTCCCTTCTTTTAGTTTTTATGAATTAAGGCAAAAATTTATATTTTATATAAAAGTAAATTAATAAATAAGCAAGCAGGTTTTACATGAGGAGCAGGGAAGCCTCCTGTTGTTAGGTAGAAA